CACTCTGTCTGTCCCTCTAACACGGTACGTACTGCTTTTGCCTACCACTCTCGTCCTCTCGTCCGCATCAACAACAAACAATGCAACTTGCCGCACAACAAGAGCCATCCCTGCAGGAAAAGCTGTACAAACAAGCAAAAAGCAGCTCCTGCTGCTGTAAGCTGCTGCTGTATGTACCATTTTTCAGCACGCACGAACAACAGATACAGCACAGGCGAAGGAGCTGAGTCTGCCTGTCTGTGTCTGCGTCGGCGTGAGTAGGGGTGGGTGTGAGGTATCGATAGAGTAACGACAGGATGTTTTTTTTTTATTCTTCTTCTTAATTGACACAACGAATCCATCTCCATCATAGAGTCTGAGACAGATTAGCAATGGATTTGTGTATGGCATCTCGACGAGTATCGTCGCGTTGCCTGTCTGAAGCTTTCGATTTTTGCAGCGGGTAACAATCAAGGTAGACACCAAGAGAAGACGCCCGATGAGCACACAGGAACCGGGGGACCCCAAAAAACAACTCATGAAAAACAAAAGAAAGAAAAAAGCGAGATCAAACGAGAGCCAGACGCGACAGGCTCCAGGGAGGAGGCCAAAGAGCGCATAGAAGAAAAAAAGCACCGTCGCCGCTCGCTCCGGACCGCTGGAAACTCTCACATAGCACTACATATGGAGCAAACATTAGGTAGGGCCCAAGTCCATTGCTTGGCATAACGCCCATCGCTTCACATGCAGCAGCCGGATGCACGGGTAGCCTCTTAGCAAAAAGCGAAACGACTGCGGTTGGTTGACGTTCGATGTTGTTGGGACCCTACCGGCGAAAGGCGAGAGAGAGAGAAAGAGAGGTAGAAGACAAAAAGAAGAGAGCGGAGAGAAGACAAGGCATTGACTATCTCGAGAAGAGAAGGCATTGACTCTCTCGAGAAGACACTCACTCTCGTCCCTCTGGCCCGCCGCAGGCTGTCAGACATGATGTCACGTTGTGTATCGAACGGCGATATCCGATGTCGGCTCAGCAACAGCAAACAAGCACAACAACAACAACAACAAACAAATATAGTCAGTCGCCGGACTATCTTGTTGTGGAAAGTTAGAACGAAAAAGAGCACGACTACATAGCACCACGGACGAACTACTATCGCATCACGCTTGCCGTCCACCATAGATGCGCACCGCTGCACGAACGAGCTGTTGGTTATAATACCTCACACGTAGTATCTAAGATTGTGCTGCCATCTACCTTACTTATCGCTCAAGTTACGACTACGCAGCAGACTCAAGGCAAGGAAGCAACACGCGTGCCGATGCATACCACCCATGCATGCAGCAAAACAAAAAAAGGCGGACCGTCTGTTGTTGTTTGTCTCTTCAACTAACTGTGCTGCCGACAACGACACTGGAAAAAAGTAGGAGACGCGCATCGCCTACGCGAGCAACGCGTGCAGCCCAAAACAACAGAGACGATAACCTTACGACCTTTCTTTTCAGCACATTCATTCCGAGCATATACTGCAGCAACCGAAGTAAGTATGTGTACAGCAGCAGCCGCATGCTGTGTACAACAACGGTCACTCAGGAAGAAAATCACAATAACAAACGCAAAAAAAAAACGGTGGTGGCGCGCAGCACGCAGGACCCTCTTTCGCTGTTAGTTCATCAACTGGCCATTCCCATGGCGAAACAGACAAGGTACAGCAGTGAAGGCCGACTCTTGCCGGCCCCAGGAGGCGGAAGCTGCTCAAACTCGGGGACGGGTCATGATTTGCGATTGATTCCTCATCGAACGGATATCGAACGATGACACTACTGTTTCAATTAGCTTCAGAAAAGCTTCAAAATTAATTGTGAAACTTGCAGGGCCCAGTCATAGACATGGCAAGTAAACACCCCGTTCCAAAGAATATCTGTCGTTGATTTTTATTGACTTGCGGACCTTTCGGGGCCAGTTTGTTTTAGCGTACCTCTTTAGGGTAAGTTAGCCTGTGACCACGGGAATCGACCGCGTCAAGTGTTGGATCAGTACGGACATATGAAGGTACTACTGGGTAGAGAGAGATCGGAACGGCTTTTAATGCGAAGACAACAACAACAACAACAACAACAACAACAACATTTAAAACTGAACTAATGGGTGGTGGGCGGATGACCGGCGGACCCCAAAAAGCAAGCTGAAAAATAAAATATAGACTTACGTTAAGAAAAAAAAAAAAAAAAGGGACGACAAAGACAAGTGAGCCAGACGCGACAGGCTTCAGGGAGGTGGCAAAGAGAGCATTCATACGAAAACCACCGTCGCCGCTCTGAACCGCTGGAAGCTGTCACATAGCACAGCATGCAGCAAACAGTATAGGGGCCATGCCCCCGTTGCTTCAAGTAAAGAGGCAGCGCCCATCGCCTCACATACAGCAGCCGGGTACGTACTGCACAAACAGCCTCTTACTCAGCAAGAAGCAAAACGATTGCGGTTGACATTCGATGTTGTTGGGACCCCAACGGCGATATTAGGCGAGAGAGAGACAGGTGCTACTACTACTACGTAGACCAACAGAACAAAGCGTAGAGAAGGCATTAATTAACTCTCGAGACCCTAACCCTAACCCTAACCCTAACCGAAGACACTCACTCTCGTCCCTGTGGCCCACCGCAGGCTGTAACGAACGGCGACATCCGATGTGCGCTCAGCAACAACAAACGCAACAAACCAAATATTCCGAACTAACTGTGGAGACTCTCTTTTATCACTTGTGGTATGAAGTATGAAGTGACAACGAAATAGAAAATGATGACGAGAAGCACCACGGACGAACTATTTTCTCAATACGCTTGCCGTCGCGATAGACGCGCACCTTTCCACGAACGACCAGTTGTCAAACCTAACTACGCAAATAAGATTGTCCTGCCATCTACCCCTTATCGCTCAACTTACGACTACGCAGCACACTAAAGGTATGTAGCCATGCATGCAAGTAAGGGAAGAAAAAAAACTATGGCGGACCGTCTGTTGTCTGTATCTTCAACCGTGCTGCCGTTGCTTTTCTTCATGGATATCGGCACAGAGAAAAAATGAGGAATGCGCATCTCCTACGCGAGCACGGCGTGCAGCCCAGCGACAGAGACGATAACCTTATGACCTTTGCAGCATCTTCCGAGCATAACCGCAGCCACCGCATGTGTACAACGGTCACTATATACTAAGGAAGAAAATCACAAAATCACTGGTTATCGCCCCACAGCGAGCGATAGCTGCTCAAACGACTGTGAGAGGTCTCGAAATCGTCTCAGCTACCCAGAACTGCTGGTAGTTGCCGGAGATTTGCAGGTACGTACTGCTTTTGCCTACCACTCTCGTCCTTTCGTCCGCACATCACCAACAACAATAAATGCTAATTTTCGCACCACGAAAGAGCCATGCAGAAAGCTGCAACAACAGAACAAAAGCAGCTCCTGCTGTATGTACACAGAATGTCCAGCTGTGTGCTGAGGTCGGTCAGCATCTCGTGAGAAGCGTGGCCAGCGAGCAAGGCTTGGCGCGGGACACGAGAGAAGCAAGCAAAGCTTGGCGCGGGTGGCGAAAAAAAGAAGACGACTCTATATAAAAAGATCTGTAAAAGAGAGGGCTTGGCGCGGGCGGCGAAAAAAATGAAGACGACTCTTATACAAAAAGATCTATAAAAAGAGGACCCTCAACGACAAGTCAACCAATATCTGATCGTTCCGATGTGACGATGTAACGCAGATCTTCTTGTCGACGGAGAAACTGGTTATCGCCCCACAGCAAGCGATAGCTGCTCAAACGACTGTGAGAGGTCTTGAAATCGTCTCAGCTACCCAGAACTGCTGGTAGTTCTCGGAGGTTCGCAGTGTGGGCTGAGATCGGCCTTTTCGACCCGGTCGGGCAAGGGGTCCGCTATGCTACTGAAAACTCCACAGACGGAAAAAAAAGACTTTTGATCGACTGAGACCCAAGCTAGAGCTTGGGAACGAACGGACGGGTACTCCTGCAGTAGTCTACCTTTCCAGCTTTGCAATGTGTTCATTATGTTAATTTATTTTCCGACCTTAAAAAAAGTACCAGTTGGCATTTATTTGTGTGACCTTGTGTAACCCCGCTGATACTTGTACGTACGCCATCAGGTTATATATACGTATGTAACCGGCGCCAGAATAGATGGGACGAACACACACACACACACGTTTGTTTTGGGTTTTCTATAGTCGAAGAAAAGTACCTCACTCATGCTTTTATCACCACGTTAGTGTTACGTTCTTCCTCACTTCATATCATCAGCGCTCACAGCACTGTGCCGTCTACTCCAACCCGTGGTCACACAGAAGGGTTTCCCCCTACCCGCCCCTTTTTGCATCATGATTATCTCATGGTGCATCATCATGAGATCCCTCCACTGATGATGTACTTTGATGCTTGCATTCTGTTTCGAGCCCCATTCATTGGACGTTGAGTGGACAAGGTGAAGTGGCGGCCTTGCATGCTTTCTAGCTAGCGTTGCCTTAACTCAAGCTCAATCTCAAGTTCCTAATAACGCTCGGGCGTGCTCTCGGCGGACACAGCTAGCTTTCTCTCGCCCACAGCAAGCGGTAAGCGATACTCCGAGTACTCTGTATCATCGCGCTGTTCGTCTGGCACATAACAACAGGCAAGCGCACTCGTTGTCAGTTGTCAAAACGGAGCTTGCTTCACACTGACTGGTGCCGTCGTCAGCATAGGGCTTCCTCGCGTTTGTCACGGACGCATAAAGAGACCTAACGCTGTTCCGCGGTTTTGTGGGTCCGGAATCAATGACGGTAGGGCTCGTGGCCGGGCACAGAACTAACTTCCGTAGCTTTCGCTGTTTTTCGCCCACTCACGAGCTCGTTTGAGTAGGACATGTTCTACGCCGAGATACTGAAAAAAAAATAGATTGAGCAGGTCGACAGCAGCAGCGCTGCAACCCCCCCCCCCCCCCCCCCCTCAAATTCAACAGGGGGCGGATATGCTCAGGAGCCGGTCAGAGCCAACCGGCGGAGGACAAGACGTCCACCGTGTCCTCCTGAACCTCGTGCTTTTCCAAGAAAATTCCGAGGCGGACCAAGGCTTCCCGGCCCTTGTCCGGCTCTTCCTCCTCTTCTCCCGCCTGCCGTGCCGCCCGTCTTCCCGCAGCCGTTGCCTCGTTACCGCTACTACTACCACCACTGCCATCCCCTCGACCAAATAGTTTCTTCCCCGCCTCCGCCTTCGACCCTTTGGTGCTGTCGGTGGTGGTATTGTCGCCATCCTTGTTGTTGTTGTTGCCGTCATCCCCGTCGGCGTTGGGGTCGGCAGCAGCCCCCCAGCCTAGCACGAAAGAAACCGCGGCCTCGCTATCGCAAGGGGGGGGGGGGGAGAAGAAAGAGCGGCGGGGGGGGGATGGGGGCGGTTACAAGTGCCTTCGCGGTGGCGTGTGCATACGGGAAGGGGGGCGTTTTCCCACTTACGAGACACTCGCGGGCTCAAGTAGATATCGAAAGCGACCGACACGGAGCCATCACCCCCCGCCGGAAGCTTCAAACCACGAGGTAGACACCCCGCCACACGAACGCCGCAGAATCCCCCCCTGTTATATCCCTTAAACAAGGCGCTGGCGCAAAAGATGTGTGTACACCCGGACGCAAACTTGATGCAGCACTCAGAGCCGCCCACCTAACAAAAGGACTACCTCGACTCACAGGCACGTCACGTAGTACTCCTGCTCCCCTCCCCAACCAGCGCCCTGGAAATTTCTGAGAAAATTCAGCGCCTCGTGGACTCGCGGGAGGTTCGCGTGCGCCAGGGAATGGACGAGCAGAGGCAGCAGGCTATCGGCGTCTAAGGGCTTGTCCGATCCCTGCAAGGCAAGGGCGGAGGAGACAGCGAAGCCGACGGTTTCACAAGTAAGGAGGGTACAGTGGTGTCATGTCAATACCTATTGCCGTGGGCCCAACATCGGGCGGGTGATTTGACCTGTGGCACATACCCGCCCTATACAATGTGGCTCCTGTACAGAGGAACAATCATGTCAATCAGATTGCCTCTGCTCCCAAACAGTTTGCTATCACCTAGTAGGTTACTCTCGAACTGTTGTAGTCAAGCACGGGCACGGTACGGAACGCAACAAGCACTACGTAGAACATGGACACCGTGCTTTTTTCTATTCGAACTGCCGCCGTGCGAAATCGGTGCCACGTCAAAAAAAAGAAAACAGCGCGGAGAATAGCGGGATAAAAAGCGCAGCATGAGTAAACATCGCTCAAAGGCCCTACGTCCAGCGAAGTAAGAACACGGAAGAACCAGGGGGGGGTGCATCCAGGAAGGTTAAGGTTAGTACGAAGACAGCTTACACAAGATGAAGCATTCGCACTAAGCGGTTGTGTCGGCCCGCAGAAAACCACCCGTCGGGGGAAGGTGGGACAATTTACCAAGTGGTGCGGCTATCCGTTGCGCCACCCGAGGAGCTCGCCGACACCGCTTCATTTCATGCGTGGCCATACAGATTAGGGGATCGGCTGGCCGCACACCCCCTGCAATGAACCACCACCGCGACAGTCCCGCACAGACACAACCCAGGAGCTGACCTGCCCACACCTCGAAGCTCGCCATCGCCCCACAATTTTGTTCCGGATATTCATGCCGTAAGACGGTACTGTTGGACCCACTATTCTTTCCCACCACCGCCGCTATAGTAGCACCCTTCCACCACCCCCCATGCCCCTTTGCTCCTGGCCTCCTCGCCCTCTCTAGCCCAACCACAGCAGCAACTCACCGATATCCTCGCGGCTTCTTCGGACAAGAGCGTCATCCCGGCCTTGACGACGTCCAGCATTTCTGCCGGCGTGGCGCACTCCCCGAGGCGCTCAAACTCTCGCGAAGCCCTGGCGTACGCCGGTGCCGCCGCCGCCGCCGCCACCTCCTTCTCCGCCTTCCCCGCTCTCCCCGCCGCCGTCTGTGGAGCCCCCGACACATGAGCAGCAGCAGCAGCAGCAGCAGCAGCAGCAGTAGAGGCGGCGGCAAGGGTGGCGTCGGCGTCTTCTCCTCCCGTCGGCGATACGCCCTCGTCTGTGGACGGGGCTTCCGGCGTTGCCTCTTCCTGTCCAGCTACCGCCGTGTCATCGCCGGCATTCGCGCAAACAGCAGCGGTCCTGGCGTGAGACGCCTCCACAGCAGCAGCAGCAGACTTGGGTGCAAGGCCAGCCGCTAGGCGAGCATCGGCACCCGTATCATCAGGTTCGCCACTATCGCCAGGACCACCATCACCGTTGGATCGCGAGTCAGCTACAACTTCGCGGTCGGTTAGATCGGCATCCACCGCTTCCCCGTCTCCGTCTTCTTCGGCACGGGGCCCCCTTCTGGCCCCATCTTGTACAGCCGAGCAACTCCTCGGACTCGAGGCGGGAATGTATTCCGGTGGAGCCCCCAGCTCGCTCAGGGGCACCAAACGCACTCTCCCCGCCTGGTTGTCGCGGATCAAGATATAAAGTAAGGAGCACATGTGAGAATACAAGAATATTGACGGAGAAACAAAAAGAATGAGGAACGAGGTGGTTTTGTTGTCATGAGAGCCAGATTAGATTTGCGTTAAAATTTTGCGTGCGCGATCTCTCTGGAACAACAAACAAGAGACAACGAAGGTGCCGTATGTGTTCGTCCAACGGCACCCGGGGTTCTCGTTTGCAGTTCATGCTTGTGCACGCAGCTTTCGTCGTCCTGTACAGAAAAAAGGAAGCAAGTCGCTTGGTGCCACGGCAGCCTTTGCGTGCGGGTGTTCACAGAAAATGGCGAAGCGAGGCCGCTTCGTTCAACAACCGAGAGACATGACTCGCACGGAGTGTCTGAGTATCAAGGCGTATACCTCCCTGTCCCCCTCTTTGCCCCCCCTCCTCTTTGGTTCGCTTTGCCATCCTCTGCCCTCCCCTCCTCTCAGATTCTCTTTGCCTATTTCAACATCTTGCTCCCTCGTCCCCTCTTCCCTGTTGCTCTTGCTTAATCGTTCTCACATCCTGTACATCCTCAACTGCCGTCAGACGAAAACCAGGAACCGATAAGCTGAAATCGGAAGGCCGTTCACGTGCGCCGAACACAAGACTTGGTGGCTAACCCTATGTACTCTCGTCTGTCTTAGCACTCGCCTTCTCCCGCCAGGCTTCATCGCTCTTTGCCACGCGGCGCCGGTCGTAGCCAAACACGAGTCTCCTCGCTTGCCGGAACACCAGCAACGCCACGAGCCCCGTCATGGTCGGCACCAGGAAGTCGGGCACGTCGAACATGTTCACCAGGTACTGCAAGGGCACACGAAGAAAAGAACATGTTCGCCAGGTACTGCAATACTTCGGGGAATCATAAATCACTTGGTTGTAGAGTACCCCTCCCCTCCAGGCCCTTTGGAGGTACCTGGGTGAACAAGAGTATATTACTTAATCGTACAACCTCGAGCATTACTTTGTCATTTTTCGTTCGTGGCTGTTTCGTAAGGGCGTGGCGGTTGCGGGAAAGCCGAGAGAGAGAGAGAGAGATAACGAGGCGTTCTTGTGCTTGTGTGCGTGTGTGGGTGGGGGGGTATCTGCGCTTTACCTTGTCCTTTGTCTGAGTCTGAAGTACTCAAGGAATCCCCGAGTTTCAAGCGTTGTCACGCTCTGTTTTCCTTCCCCCAATTTTCATGGAGCACAACAATTTTTTGACGCCAAAACTCTTTCACGCTCTCCCACCTACCCACCTCCTTCGAGAAGTAGTTGATGAACGCCTTGACCACCTGCGGGCCCACCGGCCCTTCCCCCTCCTCGCCATCCCCGGTGACGGCCCCCGTCTTCCCGACGGTTGCCGACGCCGTCGTTGCCGATCCCGGTTCCCTGCCAGTAGTCTTAGCAGCCCCCGCCCCGTTCTTATCGTCGCCGGCTTTCACGCTTGAACCCCCGCTGGCGTTGCTACCGCGCGCTGCCCTCCGGCGCATCGAGGAGAACATGCTGGCGGCGGTGGTGGCGAGCGTGGTCGCCTTGCCCCCGGTCCCGGTAGCGCCTCCGGAAGACGACCATGACATTGTTGTCGTCTTCTTCGCCGGATTCGACGATGAGGGTGGAGGAGGAGGAGGAGGAGGTGGTGGCGGGGACTTGTCGGCCTGCGCCATGGTGAGGAAGCGCCGCAGCAGGCGCCCTTCTCTGTTTGTTGCGAGCAAGGACACAAGGACGCGATACGATACCGGAGGAGAGAGACGCGTGGAGCAACTGCAACGGAGACGAGGCAGTAGTTTTTCCTCTCCCGGGAGCAGAAAAAAAACACTTGCGCGAGACACTTATTTGAACAAAAATAACAGCATGACTCGGACAGAAGGTAGTTGCATGATCGGGAGTACCGCTTCACCGCTACACTTCCGATCCCTTAGGACGGCAAAATCTACCAGACCACAGGCCATAAAAGGGACAAAGCGACGACCACTCTAGAGGCGTCGCGTGTTTCAAACACGTAGTAGAGAACATCATATGCCCATGCTTCCGAGGAGCGCACAACTCTCGCCGCTGCTTTCCTGCCTACCGCCAAACTTCGCTTCCTCACTGATTCCCGCCACTAGACTAATAGTCCAGCTATACTCGTGATTTTGTTCTCACTCGACAAAAACGCCGCCCCCTTGAACCCTGACTGAACCATCCATCCCCTGCCGCTCAAATAATCGTTCTTAGTTCTTCCAGAACCCTCGTCGGCTTCTCGAGAGAACTGCTGCTACCACAAGATCTCGTGCTACAATACTCTCACCGATTCCGCTCGTCCAGCATGAGCTCGGAAAACGCCACCTCGCAGTCCTTTCGGCCAAGCCTGGAAAAACGTGCGCTCCCGGCGGGTGGGCCCCACCCGTCCACACTCCGACGACTCTCGTCGCTCTCCGCGCGAGGGGGGTGGTCACGACCGCGGCTGTCGCCGCCATCACTGCCTTGGGGTGACTTCCCATCACCGCTTTCGGGTGACGTCCCATCACCGCCTTCGGGTGACGTCCCATCACCGCTTTCGGGTGACGTCCCATCACCGTCTTCGGGTGACGTCCCATCACCGCCTTCGGGTGACGTCGACTTACCTCCCCTGTGAGGCTCGCCCTCGTCTCCCTTTGCTTGCTCGTCCTGGACGCCGGTGCTGATAGTACCACTGGCATTGGCTTGTTCGTCAACCCGCTTGCCTTGGTCGGCTTCATCTTCGACGGTTTTTCTTCTTTCGATCGGCCTTCCCGTATTTTCTGCGGGAACCCGTTCCGTTTCGGGGTTGCGGGTTTCGGCCTCCCCCTCCTCTTCCCGCGGTTGCTGTTTGCCAGCTTCTTCACGGTCTTCTTCGACCTGGGTCCCTCCAAGATCTTGAGGTGAGGATTTAACGGTGGGTTGGTCTTGTCCAGTCTCCTCTTCCCCGGACACTACGGACTCCCCCAGTTCGAGCACGTGGTACCGGGACAACAGGGACAGGAGTGCTTGCGCTCTGTCCTCAGGCGACCTTGTTCACACGAAAAATATGCATATTGGTGGGGGGGGGGGGCGGGTAGTGCTCAAGATCGGGGAGGGGATGAACGCCGTTGTCGATCACTCTGCTCACGCGCGCAAAAAGCGAGCTGTTCATGCGGGGCGGGGGGGGTAGCTTGTTCGGTAATGATGCCGGTCTTCGACGGTTGTCTTGTCCGTACTCCGAGCCACAAACACCGTCGCGACCCTCTCCTGGGCGCGACTCCACCGAATTCCAGGGACAAAGTGCCTAACCTGGCCACCCTCCCTTTTCCAAAAAACAACAGACAGGATTAGTTGAGGTTGACGGTGAGACCTTATCCGGCGTCAACATGTTACAAGAGCAACAAACTTATAGAAGCACCTCTTTCACGACCAACCAACAGCAGGGTCACCGCTGTCCGTCCTACTGTAGACCCGAGGCGTGTTTTTTTTTTTCCCAACCGGGTGCGTAGTCATACCTTGGCTCCAGGCCTCCAGCGGCGACAACCTTCATCGCGAAAGCGTCCGCTGCCGCCGCGCAAGCGCGGTCGCACGCGACCAGCCGCTGCCTCGCCAACGCGAGGTCCTGCCACCGACCGCGAGATTTGACCGTATGCATCGATGGTGAACGGCGTGGAGACTAGCATTGCACACGGTTTAGCTTGGACTCCGAGTACAACCCAAAACTTATGCACTTTTGCGCAGCCGGTGTAGATAGCTAAATATTCGTTCGTGCCAAACAAAGTGTTGCCTTGAAACAAGCGCAGCCCGTGCACCACTTTGTGCGCGTTTTCTGAGTTCGTGTCATTTCGAGTGTCAAAAGGAGAACCGGAGGTTTGGTACGTCTGAAAGTGTTTTTTCCGTCTACAGTACCACATAAGTTGACAGGTGCTGCCAAACTCCTTTGTATTCGTTCTCGAGAGTGAGGTTGCACAAAAAGACCAAAGCTCGGAATGCAGCAAAACGTTAGGAGTGTAGCACTTCGCTGTTACATGCCTGGTTTCGGGACTGCTGAAATTTTCGTCTCTGACTATTGGGCATAATATCATGTGTCAGGCTGGATGAGCCTTGTCAGCAGCTCCCGCGATACGTGGGCATGTGTTCCGCACGCAATGTCACGGAGAGATGAAAGAAGAATGGAGGGGGGACTTGGAGGTCACATTGTACCAGAGAGCGAGGGAGAGAAAGAGAGAGAGCCCAGGGCACCGTCGCTACCACAAACGACAGAGGCCCCGTATATCGGTATTGAGCGCAAGGTACCCAACGACACTTACCTCGTCGAAGGCGAGAAGATCTCCCGGAGATACAGCGAACGCCTCCTCCCAAAAATGGCCGTCACCACCGATCCCTCCGCGGAACCCGAGGGATTCCGTCTCCGCCCCCGCTGGCTTGTTAGTCCAGGGTCCGATGATCGGCATGGAGCGGAGCAGACGGCCGACTTCCTGTGTTCGGTTAGACACCACACGACATTTACGTCCGTGGTGCTCAGATGGAGAGAGAGAGAGAAAGAAACTGACGCTGTGATGAGGAGAAGTCGAACTTGGCGGATAAGGGTTATGTCGCCCCTCTGCGGATTCCCGTGGTTTGACCCGCCGTGGAGGTCCTGTCTGCGAGTGCCCTGGCTGGCACACAACCCATGATGCCCCCTCACGGGATCCCAGATCATGGCCTGTAGAAGCATTTTCTGTTTTTATAGACGCGCTGAGACTGGCGTCTTTTCATTGGTTGGTCAGGTAGCGCGTTCGATGCTAGTAAAAAAACACACACGCACACGTTACACTTGTCCGGCGTGGAATACCGTACATCAGCGGCATACCGGAAAAAAAAACCCGACGGGATTCGCACCATACCTGTAGCTTGGCGGTTATCACTTCTTCCCGCCTCTCCGACATGCCGACCCGCAGCTGAGCACGGTTAGTCTCCCTTCGTCGGTGTTCCTTGAAAGACGCAAGGACGGAAACGTAGCCCCAGCACCGTAGGTCGCTTTCTTGGCCCGCCAGCGCCGCCGTCAACAGCTCCAGATCCTCCCGCCTGCGAAGTAGTTTCGGGAGCCGAACGTGTCTAGGGTAACGAGCTCTTCCAGTGTTTTGCGAGAATGTTTAAGACTGCAACAACGCGACGGTAGGTGCCCCTACTGCCACTGTTGACTTCCGTATGCGGTTGTTCTTGTTGTATTGACACCATAAGCACCAATCGTTTATGACCTTTGTTCATCACCTCTTCTCTTCCACTGTTCAAGGGAAAAGGAGCACGTATCCGTTGTCACGCGCTTACCCCAAAACAAGGCGTTTCTGTCACACACCACTGAAGGAGGACTACGAAGCGGATAGCCGCTGCAAAACCAAGGCACAAAACCGTTCAGGTTTCCCTGAAAATTCCCTGCCGACCCCTGGCGTGCGCCGCACCTACAGCTCTATTTGGTCATTCTTGTGCCGTTATCGTTCGGTTGGGGGATTCCATAGCGAGAGCAAATTTCCATGTTTTCTTCCGCGCACGCGTGTGCCCCAGTGGCAAACTACTGCTGCTGGTGCTGTGTGTGTGCAGCAACCAAGGCGCGCGCCCTCACCTTGAGGTTGTCGTGCCCTCCGCTTCCGCTACCGCCGCAGACAAGGTTGCCTTGTACTTGGTCAGGCTTTCCCGCGCCTCGACGGCCTCGGGGTCGCCGCTAAGAGCCATCTTTACAGGGAGCATGGCCTGGGGGGCGGCGGGCGCGGGACGTACGTTCATGTTATTCTTGTGCCTCACGAGTACTTCGTATTTGGTTGGCGCGGGAGGCGCGCGTGTGCAATAATGGCATATTTGTGCCTCACACTGCATGTTCTTGTAGTGCTGTCTAACACGGAGACGGCGGCGCATCCTTGGAGATGGGGGGCAGGATGGAATTGAAAATATATCAAAAGCAAGCAGCAGCGCAACAGATTGGTCTCTCGGTCGCTCCCGGGGTACATCTAGTATCGTGCACGCACATGGCATGTATGCATATGTTGCATGTCAAGAAAAATGTCGAGTTTCCGGCGGCAGAGCATTCCTAGAAGTTTCCTCGCACCCGAGGAGGAGGGCCGAGGAAAGGTGCTGTGCATCGGGAACCAACGGCGGCAGGTAGAAACGTTGTCCTGTAAAGTAGCCAGAGTTCGAATATGGTGTCGTGGCGGCACGCTTGTTTGTCGGTGTTACCCAGCAGGCCCTATCTATGACAGCGGGAGAGAGATGGCCGACACAATGTACCGAAGTCTCGTGCCATTGAAGCTTGAAGAGATTGTCCGCTCTTCTTTCGGATCAAAGTTTCCCGGCGGGCGAGCTCCGCCCCCGGCTACACCATCGTCTCTTACCCGCGCCCCGGAAGCCCTCAGGAGAGAGAAAGACCGCGACACCGACGAGCTCACGTCCCTGTCACGACCAGCAGCCCCGCCTTCAGATGCTGTCGCCACTTGTTCTCCTACAGCAAGCTGGTGTGGAGGTCGTACATGAAGGCCATCGTCGCGCAGGGACCCATCGGGCTCGGGAGGCGGCGAGGGCTCCTTGAACGCAGCTCGTCCTTCGTCTTCGGAGGAATCCGCAGACCCGGCCCGCCGGACGGTTGCCTTGGCCCCTTCCAAGAGCGACCCCAGCATGATGCCCACCCGGAGAGTGGGAGGGAGGGAGGACGGAGGCCGGAGCGAGACCGTTCGGGGAACCCAGGAGTTGCGCCGCATAAAAAAAAAAAGTGTCGCTTACAGCACGTCACACGTCACACGCGTCGGCGACTCGCCGGGTTCAGCTTGCTGCTGCGCTGCTGCCGTCGTGTGTGAGGCTAACCGAGGTATGGAATTGTGCTGAATCATGATTCTGATATATGTATGAACTGACTCGGCTCACACGCTGGCAAGTTAAGTTTGCCACCTCGGCCTTGTTACGTGTTCTGTACATCGTGCCTTGAGACCAAACCTCAAAACCTCCGTACTGCTGTGTGTTGCGTGAGATTCCACACACCCTCTACCGATTTTCCAAGCACTGGTTACGCACCGCAACCAGCGGCTGTGCCAATAATGGCGACGTTGGAACTGGTTACGCACCGCAACCAGCGGCTATGCCAATAATGGCGACGTTGGAACCCTCTCGCCGAGGGTTTTCCGAAAATACATCATTAGATGTTGGCGTCCTCTTCGTCCGTGGAGTAATCGAACTGTGAAAAATCGGTCCAGGGGGTGTGGTATATTCCGTACACATCCTCCGGTAAGAGCTCTCTTGTTTGACTGCGCTGTCTTCTGAGTACTGCGGTCACAGCGAGTCAGTCAGTAGGTGCAAATCATTTATGTGCACCACGTTATGTACAGTAGTCTAGCAGTTCGTGATGCCGTGTGTGTTTTACTACTAGCATCGACCGCGCTCACCGGCTGACCAAAAGAAAAAAAGACTGCTGTGTGCGTCCGTTTATCGTCCCGTCTACAGCAGTGGTACAATTCTTGTGTGTAGGTCTGTCACAACTTGTTGGTAGATGCTTGACGCACTAGCCGGCGTCACATAGAGACAAGGTCAACCTTCCCCCTGCGGTGCTTGCCTTTCAATTTTTGTCGGGGAGAAGGGTAAGGGTTGAACAGCAGTTTCTTTCCCCTACAGTCTGTGCTTAGTCAGGTCTACCTGGCATGCGCTTTCCACGTGCGAGTTTTCACTCCTGAGAGATTCAAAACCGCCATGATCTGTATGAAGGGAATCAGAAGGTTACGGAGGGTGTCCAATTGAACCGCGAGGAGGGGCAATGCCGTAATATATGCCTTCGTGCCTTGTACTTGAGAATGCCGACCCGCATCGCTCTGAATCGAGGACATCTACGCGGGCTACTCGTACAAGCCTACGTAACTAGACTCGACCCAGGTGTCACTGATTTGTACCTACAGTACGTCGATGTCACTCATCCTCTTGGCCGCCAAAACGACAAACCTGTGCAACACCGGCCGAAACGTTGCGTTTTTGTTGCCGCAGTGGCGCGGCGAGCCCACAGCGAAAAAATGTCTTCACAGCGCCGTCCACCGAGTGGCGGCGGAGCCTCTGGCGGCCTCGCTCCCCCTCCTCGTCCACGCCCCCGCCTGCTGACAACGGGGGGTCTCAAGGGGTGGCAATACGGGGTGCTCGTGGTGTCCTGCGTTGGCTCCATGCTAGCGGGCGCGAGCGTCGTCCATAGACTCTTTCCGCCGGACCTGGTGAGAGATCGGGACAGATAACATTGGCGTTTGTCCCTGGCAAGTAGAGCTTGAACCAAGCCGTGTTTTACTGTTGTGGTTGTTGTTGTCTTCACATGAAAACCGTTCCGGTCTCCTCTTCTAATATCCGTGCTGGTCCATCTGACTTGAGTAGCGCGGGTATAACACGATGCGGTAAGTCATGCTGTAGTACGAGAAAAACACTCGTACCGTGGTTTTCACATGATTGACCCGCCCCTGTCGGAACAATGCTCCGTTTTTTGGGGGACCCATGACGCATGGTAAATGTTTTACCCCCCAAGGCATCCAAAAAATAAGGGTACCCCCCCCCCCCCCCCCCATGACGCCCGCCCGTTTTATGCGTTCACAGACTTTGCCGGGTGCGGGCGAGGCCGACCCAGCCGAGAAGCGAAATCAGAACGGCAATGTGGGCGAAACGACGCAGCAATAGCATTGGGCGTGGATGTGTCTTTATTTTTAGCATCGACCGCGCTAACTGGGTGACCAATGAAAATGCGTCAGTCTCAGTGCGGTCAAAAGCGTGTGTGTGTGTGTGCGTGACGGGAGAGAGGGGAAGGTCGATCCCTGATTTTTCAATGAAAGGAGGGGCGGGGTGGGGGTTGGCTGTGTGTGGGGAGGGTGCGGAGCAAGGATTCCCCTCTTCGGGGTGTAGATAGCTCGGAGCCTCTACAGCACTCATCATGACGGTGTGAAGCGTGAACGGGTGGTAGAGAGGGTTACGGCAGCACGGTCCGCGAGCTCGGCTACTGCGTGCACGATGTGGGCACCAACTAGACTTGGCGATTCTGCAGGACGTAGTGTTTTGTTTTTTTTTGTCTCTGTTGTAGATAGTATCGAGGGAAAACGCCTCGAATAGATTTTCCTCGGCGTAAGGGGCTCTGGTATGGTGAAAGTCGCAAGACCGCCATTGCTACGCCCGTATTCATTTGTTGCAAAGATTGCCAGCCAACCCCCCTTTGATGTATACGTCCTACGTACTTTTCCCCCTGTACTCTAGGCGCAAGCAAGCGTTGACTGTCCGGATGGTGTACATCAGGGTGGCAGCACACGCTTGAACCATTTCATATCACGCCAAGTATGATTCCCAGAAAAATCGTGGGTGCGACAACACGGGCATGTACGTCACCAGCTAAGCTCGAAGCCACAACTATCTCCGTATATACATTTCCTCTTCCAACCTCCTCCCCTTGGCCACCCTTTGAGCGCGCATCGCTCGTACCTAACGGCATGGGTATTGCCCCCCCCCCGCGCGCGCACAGACACAAGCGAGAAGGCCGGTTGATAAAGGCCTACATCTCCGTGCGGTAGCGGGCAAAACCGCGACACAATTTCTCGACGCGAGCATCCACCTATCTATTCTGTACCTGAACCATTCCTACGTGGGGGGCGGGGGGTAGGGGGGGGATCCTCAAACATTTTTGTTGTTGTTGTTGTCATTTGAGCCCCCTCGTGAAGGAATCATCAGGTCCTCCTGTCGCTATGATCAGTCAACAGCCAGTCTCTCCCCGCCAGGAAGTTCGCTGTACCGACTACTAGACGACAGACACGGTGTTTCCCACGGGTGAGGAAACCAACTACCAAGAAAGACCAAAGAAGCAGCAGAAGAACGCCTTCAAAGACCACCACGCACGCATCGTCGTGTCCCTTTCCACTCTCCGCCGGGGCCGGGCGGGGGCACCGTCGATACGACAACGAGACCGTCCCCATGACCCATCCCCCCCCCCCCCTCGCGCTGGGTCATGTGAAAGCCTGGTCCGATGAGAACCCGGCGTGCTCCATTCCGGCTTTGCGAGGTCAATGGTCTAACGACTACGAGATGCACGGCCATGACTACACCCTCTCTACCATGCAAAATCTCTCAAATCAACCGAATCGTAGTGCTATCGATCGATCACTCGTCCTCCTCCTCCTCTCCTTCCGGCGGGTTGGGGTCGACCAGCACGTCCGCCTGCTCGACGAGTCCCTCCTCGTCCTCCCCGGGGGTCCACTCCGGCTGCAGCATCGGCGGCAGGGAGGGCTGGAATGGCCCCTCCCCTCCGAACTTGACACCGTCCCCGGAGTAGACGTTGGTGAAACGCTTGCCGAACGCCACGGCGATTGCTCCGGGCCACCTGGCGTAGGTGTCCGATTGGTCGTGATGGTGGTGGTCTGGATTGTTGTTTGCAAAAGTGTAGCTACTGCTTGAGGATCGTAGCCTTGGTCGTGAGAGCAGAGGGGGCGAGGGCGGGGCGTATGCGGTAGAAGTGCTGCTGTTGCGGCGTGGGGCAAGGGTCAAGCAAGGATGCCCAACCTGAAACCTTGGCGCCAACACAACCGACGAATCCTGTGGCTCCGACGGTAGGCAGTGAACACTTCTCGTTCAGGGTATATGCGAGTAGGAAGTGTATCACGACACGCCCCCCCCCACACGCTCGCTCACCGGAGAGACTTGGCCACGACCATCGCGTTGGCCGACTGCCCTGCTCCTGCAGGACATGTTCTGAACCCCCACGACCCCTCCGAGTCTTCCGCGAGGGATCGGAGAGGCGCAACCTGTACAATACAATAGTACATACGCGGGTTGACCGGCCGACCGGTAACGGCATGACGACTGACTACGTTTGTGCGGGAACGAGAGGAGCGGTTTTTCGTCCTCCTCTGAAAGACACCTCAGACGCTGAGTGGAGTGGAGCAGAGGGCTTGAGATGTGGTATGGCTTGTTGAGCTAGCTGGAAGACAGCTATCACTATTTTTCAGGATCATCATACAGATCGGTTTGGAACCTTCCTGAATTTTTGGTGATGACGCCGGTCGGGGACACATGTTCAGCAAGTGGCGAACCCAGAACGGCGCCCCAAGAACTTCTTTCTTTTTCTGGCGATCCATCTGAGAAGCGCAACGAGCGCCATGCGCGCTAAAGCGTACCATGTCTGCACCGCTTGGATCGACGCCCGTCGACTTCACACGCGTACATACTTGTCATACCTCTTCGGGAGGGTCCTCTTCTTCGATAGGGTTGCCCTCGTCGTCGAGCTTCTCGGGCATTGGCCGACACCTTTTGGTTGTTGTCGTTGTTGTTGTGGCGGTGGCGGTTGTTGTCACGTTGCAAGTATTGTCGTCAGTGTTTCCGCAAGAGGAGAGAGGAAGATGGGGGATGACGCCATGTTCGATAGAGTACGAAGAGCAAGCATCCCAACTAGTAGATTACTATCCTCAGAAGACTCCAATGACTTGTTGAAAAACGAACTTTCAGTGACGACTGCCGCAGACTGGACTGAACGGGAGGGGGGGGGGGTGAAGTCCTTGTGCGGAAGGTTCGGAAACCCCGCCTGTACCATAAAAGTTTGCTCTTGTTCTTTTGTTGAACTTGCCATCATAGTAGACACCTTTCCTACTTTGTCTAGCCACGCCTAACTCTTGGTGGTCTCCCATCCCTTCTTGCTACCCGTGGTACGTGGGTACCGACAGACAGACGTGAACGCCCCCGGGGTGAACTGGGCCACAAGACTTCAGTGGTGGCAGGCTCGAGCGTTCTATCAATTGAGGTCGATTTCGGATTGATCAAACTGGTCATCTGTTTTGGGCCCTTTTGACCAAAAATCGTGATTGTTGTTGAAGGGAGGATGGAAGGCGCAGGATGCAGAAGATGCGCCTGGTAACCCAACGTGCTATATGATACCTATTTTGCAAAGACCAGGAAGACAAAGACGATGGCCGCAACGACAACAGCAGCAGCGGCAGCAGCGAATGTACAACAAACACGTGTTCGATGGGTTGATAATAGTCAAACCTTTTACCTGCCAAGCGTGTTGAGCTCGAATTCGTGGTGCACCCAGCCATCCGTCGTCATGAGCTCCTCCACCGCTTTCGGAAACGCCTCGTTGATCGATTCGTCCTCAGCTACCTTTTTCGACGATAACGTAACAGTTCGTCAGAAAAATGGGCGCGTGATTCGAAGGAAGTCACACATGCCTTAAGCTCGAATGTAACTTATAAGGGGGGCGAGATTAGCATCTACAACAACAACGTATTTCGAGCAGACTTCTGCCGTGATGTACGTAGTGCACTGGCTGAGTACCCAGTCCCCCGTGCCTTTTTAATTTTCGAGGGCTCCCGGAAGGTTTCTATCCGCGGACAAGGTTTCAAATAATCCTTGCGTACGGATGACAGCTGCGTACGGATAACGCCACTACCAACATTATGCCTTCACACGCCCTCACCTTAATGCTGGCCGGCTCTGCGTCCTCATCAACCTCGAAGAACCCAGCGGGGCTAACGCAAGCTCCGGCAGTGATGCGCGCGATCTGGGCCCGCAGAAGGTTGATCTCGGTCCCCGGGAAGGGTGGGTACCCTTGGACGGGCGACTCCAAGTCTCCCGTAAAGTATCGCTTGATCTGAGGACGTTTAGGTTGCATCGTGTTTCGATGTTAACGGCATCGGCAGCGCGAGCCTGCTGACCATTTTGTTTCATCGTATGTATGTGACTCGTGTTGCTGACTTAACGGGCCAGTTTACCTGCTCGACATCTGAAATCTTAGCGTTGTAATTCAGAAGGGTTGTCATTGCTCTGGGCCGTCACCCCCCCCCCCTCTACACACATGACTCTGCGGTGCCCCTGTACCTTGCGGGCGGCTGTGATCTGCGCCTGCGTGACGGGCGGGAGCTCCTTCCACTCCCTGCCGGGTGAGCGCGCCACCCAGTAGGTACAGCGGTTCCCCCCGTCCTTGCCCTCCTGCAGAGCTTCGTCGAACTCTCCCAACGTCTCGTCTAGTGCCTTCCCTTCCACCACGACGTAGTCGTCCCCTCTGGTCGTGATCTTGCCCCAGAACCGCAAGGACTCGTGCTCACCGGGAAGAGATTCGGCAAGCTGGGATGGCAGCGTCAGAGCGGTGCATACGGAGGCAGGGTTTGGTTTAGGTTCAGAGTTCTATCGACGGGGCAAGTCCGTTCAAAGCTGTAGTCTTTCTTTTCTGAGGTGGGAGCTCTTCCGTGGAGCAAAAGCTTGCGGCTTGTATGTAGATGGGCCAACAACTGTGACCGCAAGTTGGTTTTTCGGCAGAGACAAAGGCGGGCGATTTTTCCCTAACGGCTCCCTTGCTTCAACCCCTACGTATGTTAGAAGGCACAAGATATGGTGGTGTTCGTTTGCGCAGGACTTGATGGCCCAGGCCCCTGGGAGAAGTACAAGATGGACGAAATTCCTTGCCATAATGATTTCCCCCAACTCGGAAAAACGAACAAATGAATCCAACACTTCCCACGGTCACGATGGAAGAACAACGAGGCAACATCTTTTGAACAACACCCACACCTTTTTTACGGAGAGGTACAAGCGATACGTCTCCAGTCGCCCGAACGACACCCCTCCCCACTCCCACATGTTGGCTTCGTCTAGCATGTCGGGCACCACCGCTCCCCCCTCCGGAGGCTCGTCGGGCACCGCGAAAAGCGCCTGGTTGCTCTGAGCCCACTTGAGCTGCTCCGCCGCGGCGGACTGTTGGCCCATCGACGGCGTCGTGCTGTCCGGCTTCACCGTACCCTCCTTGACGGAGGCGCTGAGGTGCTCGAAGACCGCTGACGCATCTGACGGTCTCTCACTCAACACCTGGGTTGAGGGGCCAGATGGGACGGCCCAGGGGATCGGGGTCACCGAGCGAGAGAGAGAGAGAGAGAGAGAGAGAGAGAGAGAGAGAGAGAGGGAGAGAGGGAGAGGGAGGGAGGGAGACCATTGAGGTATTTTCGTCTTTCTCGTCCCATCTATGGAAGGAAATGTTTTGCACACGATTGGTTACAGTGTAGAACGAATCAACATAGTCACCGTGGGTCGGCAGTACTCGAAGAGATATTAGGCAGTGACGGCGACGCCTTGGTTGCCTTCGACCCTGACCACCCGAAGTTCCGTGCTTCTTACCTGCTCGATACTACTTTTCTCGCCGCAGCCGAGAAAAACGCGTGTGTACAGCAGGTCGGTGTCGATATTTTCTTTGACCGGAGTCTCTACAGCAGCGGTGTAGGGAACTATTGATGTAGACTACAAATCATGAGAGATAGGCATGATTCGTGGAGCTGGGTCGTACGTACTGTGGACGGCAATGTCCCGCCACACGCCATACGTGGCACGGACCCACTTGATGTGACCGACAGCAACAGTGCATGTTGTGCACAGCAGTGAATTGGCGTCGACTCGTTTGGGACCGGAGCTTGTCTACAGCAGCAGTATCAGTGCACACGATACTTCAATGTGATGAGAGGATGGGATGCACGATTCGTAGAGCCGTGTGGAGGGTACTCTACTTCAACATTCTGCACAGCAGTGCCCGGCCGCAGCGCCCACATCGCACTGACTGGCCCATCACACGAGACCAAACTTGACAGAGTGTACCAGGTACATGAACGTGGCACATGTAGTCTCTGCCACAGGTACATGCTGTAGTGACTGGTGTCAATGCTGTATTAGCGATGTGACGCTTCGTGCCTTGTAGCGAGGTGATTCGTCATTTCCACCGCAACACCCGGTACGTGCCGGCCAGCGCCTACGTACATCATCCACAGGAGCACACATCACGGGCCGTGACGACCACACGTAGGACGCCAGTACGCCTCATTGTCGCAGCACGAAACTTGATGATGAAGACGTGGAGTCACGACAGGGTTGGCATGCTGTCGCAACACGTGCTGCGTGGAAGAGAAAAAATCGCCCCCACGTGGGCGCACTCTAAGATCTAGTCAAATGTCACCCGACGACGGCGTCCTGTGAGTACATACGATTTGAGACTTGAGCAACAAACGAGGAGAAGCAGTTGGGGCAAGGGGCATGGGCAGTGGCACCGCGTGCTCTAAAATCACGGCGAAAATCCAACGAAAAATTCAATCTTTTTTATCAACAGTACAAAGACAGCCTCCAAGGTTGCGCTTGAAAATACACCGCCACTAACATGAACCGTGCGCACCTTCAGTAAAACGTTCGCCAGGTGAGTGTACAGCGACACTCCATCGCTCGACTCCTGCTGCAGGAACTGCCTCGATCCTTCGTACGTGGACATGTTTTGACCAGAGAGCGAGAGCCAGAAAGAGAGAGAGCAGGCACACCCCTTGATACAGCCTACCCCCGGAAGCGTCGAAACCTTACGATGCGACTACGGTAATACAGGTTACTCGCTACAGCCTAGCGAGGGGCTGTCTGCGGTAGGCTATCCCCTTCGCTGTCTCGGTGTCGGATTCTCCTTCATCGGTCGAAAAATATATTTTTCGACGGTTTCAGCTTCCAAAGCGCATTCTCGCAACGAACTCCTGTTCTCCGATAGCTTCGTAGACTTCGCGTTCCCCCCGCGCTGCGCGCCCAAGCCGCTTGCTGTCCTAGAGAGGCACCTTCCCTCTGTCTGAGCTTACCAACTGACTACCGGCACACACACCATGAACATCGACATTCCTGATTTACTGCGAGCGTTAGAAGTGGATGAAAGGGTAGACGGATCTGGCGGCAACACTGTGCAGGGCGAGTGCGAAACGGTGAGAGAGACAGAGAGAGAGAGAGAGAGGGACCCGAAATTCAAAAATCTACCGCATGCTAACTACAGCAGTACACGCAGCAGCATCTACACTACAGCAGCAGCAGAGCAGCAGCAGTGGCGTGTGCTTGAGAGACGGCGGGCGTACCCCACGAGCAGCCGCATGCATGGACGCGGCATCCACTGCAGCTATGCAAAAATTACTCCCGTGTTAAGTCAAGAACGTGTATGGATGTTCTAGCACTTCGAGATCGAATTTCAAATTTCCGCGCTCTACATGTTGTATGTTCTTGTTTCTCGCCCGCTGCTCCCTTCACCCTCTCGCCCGTAGAGGATGTATGCGCCCGTACGGGTGTACGCCATTGGTTTGTAGATTCCAGCATACGACTCATGCGAATGCATGCACGCTGTCGCCTTGAGCGGAGGTGTAAGAATTTCCATCCAGTTAATTCTCCCAAATACTACAAGGAGAGGTATGCATATCTATTCATACATGTAGACGCGTAAATAGTCGTTCTCTCGGACGCCTTCGTTTGCGCCGATTGCTAACTGGCGAGAGTCGATTATTAATAGGAGTAACCCTTTGCGGATGCTCGCAGGTAGGCCATACTGCCGATGCTGCCAGTGTAGGCTTCGTCCCAAGTAGCATTTGCGAACGGTTTATTTGTTGGCCATGCCATGCCCCAGGAGATGGTGTTTTTTTTTTGTGGCCGGTGTTGACCACTGGGAGTGCCATATGCACCCGCAGCTTGACCACGATTTCGTGTTTCCCCCGGCACATTGCGTAAAGGGCACATCTGTGTGTGTATCTTTGAATGGCATCAACCGCGATATCAAGCTGACCAAATTAAGTTAATTAGGTCAGTGTTACTTTCTAGTTATCCCCCCCCCCCCCCCGGCAAGACCGAGGCTGAGAAAAATAAAAGGGAGGTACAGGGAGATGTTTGAGGCATGGAATAGAGAGGAGAGGACGGTAGCTGTACTGGGGAGTAGGAAGTGGTTTGAGAAGGCGGGAAGGGATATCGTTAGGATAGACAGACTCGGGAAGACATTTTTGAGCCACCTTTGGCAAAGTAGGAAGGAACGATTGGCCATCGGTGATCGGTCCTGTGGGAACAATGTTTTGTCCTCTGGGGGACGCGGGGTAAATGGTTTACCCGTTAAGGCATGCAAAACATAAGAGTCCGCCCCCCCCCCCCCCGGCAAGGGGCGCGCGGCGGTAGCTTGTCCGCCGGTTTCTCTGCCTTCTCTCGACATCCAATTTCGCTCATGTTGTTGTTCTTGTTGTTCTTGTTGTTCGGTGTGTTGTTGTCCTGCTCTCTCTCTCACCCAGCACCTCTCGACCACATACATCATTGCAGCCCTAAAGGTGGAGATACGATCTTCCCCCGGGTTAACAGGCTAGCTCGCGGACAGGAATGTCACAAGAGCATAAGACCAGCTGGCATCACTGATACAATTCAGTGTATAGGCTTAAACAAGCTCAAAATATAAACCCAGTTTCCAGCCGGTTTCCCTCCATTCACTGAAAAGACTTGAGCACATCCCTTTCGACTGGGGTTATATCTCGAACGGGTAGTCTTTCTGTGAGAGTATGTTTACTTTCTCAACATAAGACCAGACGTACTCGCCTCGGGGGACCCCTGTCAACCTTCACAATGACCCCCCCCACACACACGCGCGCGCTTTGCTCTCGTTCTCCGTTGTGCAGATATTCCGCTTGTCGGAGAAGAAAGTCCCGCCGGGCAGGTTGAAGAAGGAGTTCCTGAGAGGATATGTCGCGATAGATCTCGCACTGGGGTGAGTTTCAGGAATGAAAAGTAAAAATCGGCATGTATCCCCCCGCCTGAAGAGGTTTATCTACTACTCGAAGTTGTGGGTGCCGCCTGATGGAAAATGGTTTGTATAGGGGTGCGACAGCGTGGTAGACCGGTTATGTAGGACTCCGGAAAAGAAACGAGCTGGCACAAATGATGGCAAGGAGGCGTTGAGATGGGGAGAAGGGTGAAAGTATTTTTTTTCTCTCACACCATGAACAAACAACGTTTTTTTCTTTGCCTGCATGGCGCTTGTAAGCAAGAGACTCCTCTACTTGTGAGCAGCAGTAAACGCTGACTACGTTTCGTGTTTTTCCATGTTTAAATCGTCCGCAATTTAGTTATACGGGTGGCACGTGAGATGAGGCATAGTACACCGGGTAAATTCATGGGTTTCCAAAACCAACGGTTTATGTGTGTTGGTGCTTCCGTCGGCCGTATTGTTTTACCCCGAAACGCCCCCGTTGTTACAGTTCCATTCCCGAGACTGTCCACGGTTTCTACTGAGTAAAAAAACTACAAGAAGATAACAAAAAAGACGATAGTGCATACATGTATTGCATACCTTGTTCTGGTGAATGTGTTGGCCTCTGTCTGTTGTATTTTTTATTAGTTTTTTCGGTGTCTCTCGTCTGTTCCTGTTCGTTGCGTGCACACTTCCCAGGACGCTGGGGATCCCGTTCTCAAAGAAGAAGCTACTGGAGAAGGCGAACATCTCCAAACAGAAGGTGCAGGCTCTCGGGTGGGCTACCAATGCACGCACCACGCGCTATAGCTTTTGCGGCCGGACGAACGCGAGTCTCGAGAGCTTGATAGTCTGTACCATGTTTCTGATGGGTGCTTTCTAGCCTTCTGATCGGTTTTATTGACGAAGGAAAATTCCGCTCATTTTCCTTCCAATCTTGATTCAGTCATCGTCTTGTCTTACAGGTATTGGTCAACGCTACGGAAGTGAATTGGTAGTGTCTACATATGCATATTCCTTTCAACCCGAATTTGGCTGGCTTCAAATGCGTTTGTCTGGCGATGGGGAATGAGAAAGCGAACAAGCCCTAAACCATCAAGCCTGAAAAATTGCTCTGACACAATGATGTTTTGGGCAGCTGAATGTTTAGGGGACGGCCCGAATGGTGCCCCTCTTGCCCTTCGTGAAGCAGTCCCAATGCACGGAGTATACCGCTAGGTTTATGCTCGCACATTCCCACTCATGAGCATACGAACCTCTCCGTCCATCGCGAGACGTTCGCGTTTGACCTACGCTCGCCACGCACGACCCTTGATATCAGCCAACTCCGCTCCTTGTGTAGGCGGAATATTTAGGTGTCTCCGACAAAGACAAAGACGGAGTGCTTCTTCGAAGCGTTCTTTGCTTTTTTTTCGCGAGCTTCTGGTGTCGTTGTCGTCGTGCTCTCCACGAATACAGTACACGTTCCTTTTTCTGACCTCTCCCCTACTCTTGAAAGGCGTAAACAAGCATCTCCGTCGATACACTAAAACAACCAACACAAGGTACAATTAAAGAAAAAACTACAAGAATACATAGGCCCAACAACCAATACAAGGTACAATTAAAGAAAAAATTACGAGAATACATAGGCCCAGATCCCCCCCCCCCTGCCACACAAAACACTGTTACGCTATCCTTTTTTTACGGCCATCCACCGCCACGGTGCCTCCAGGCGTACGATGACACCTACCAGTATCTCAGGAACGTGCTGGGCGCGCGGGTGGCTCCCATGGGCGTGAGCATGGCCAACATCGCGGTCAAGTTCACGGGGGCTAGCGTGGAGCGGTCGATGGCGCTGCTACAAAGGTTTCAGGTGCGCTCCTGCCCGCTGGCGGGACTGCCTATTTGTTCATGTACATGCGCGAAGAAATTAAGGTTATCTATGAAATTGAGAGGTGGGGGTCAACGAAGGCTCTAACCCTACCCCTAAGCGTATCAGCCGAATCCGTGCGAAGGTTTGCTTTGTAGAAACCTGCGAAGGGTACTGCGTTAGCGTTACACCGGAGTTTCCACAGAGCCGCAGGAGGCGGCGCGAACTCTCATCGCTGTTATGCAATCCCAAACCCTGGTTCTGTACACCCAGATATAGAGCCGCCGAAGGGCAACGGGCAGGGCCACGCGTGTGTTGTGACGCACTCATGCAACCAACTTAGCGACTGCCCTTTGTTTGGAAGCATCCCTAAGAACCCACGACAACGCGAGCGCTTGGCTAAGCGGAAGGCGTTTCTTCTGGCCTGCGGCTTTGCGTGGGGAGGATGACTTCGGCCGAATCTCGCTGCGATACGCCCGTGCTGTAGGTCAACATCAGTTCGCCTTTTTTCGTCTGAAAAAGTCGTGACAGTCGTAATTGTTTTTGTCTGTCGCCATGGAATAGCAGAATACCAGCATAAAACTTTTTGGTGCCAAGAAGGCGTCAACATGAGCAGGTTTTTTGGGTTTTTAAGAGGCTAGTCTCTCTTGGATGCTTTGCCCGTCTAGCATATGTCTGTCCGCGTGACTGGCTCTGGGTTTGCGGTTTTCCATTTCCAGGATGCTTGTCATGCTGCGGTTACGGTGGAGCACCGCGAACGTTTGGCGGGACGGTATAGCACGGCCGAGTACCATGCTGCGGCGTTCTGCGTCGCGAGTGTGCAAGACAAGGTAAGGTGCTTGATCTGATTGAGATAGTCCGCTCTTCTTCGTTGTTGTGGCTGTTGCTGCTGTTGCTGCTGTTGCAGCTGCTGCTGTTGATGCTGTTGCAGCTGATGATGTTGTTGTTGATGATGATGCTGATGCTGATGCTGATGCTGCTGATGATGATGTTGTCGTTGTTGTTGTTGTTGTTGTTGTTGTTTTGACGACGACGACGACAACGATAATGATGGTGTGTTACTGTTGTTCATGATGTTGCTGTACTGCTATCATGGTCAGGTCCTGTTGTCTGATTTGCTTGGTGTTGGTGATGAAGATGCTGTTGTACTGCTGTTGTCCTTGGTGCTGCCGTCTGACTTGCCTCTTGTTTCACGTGCACCGGAGGAGGCAGGAGAAGGACACCGCTGCTAGAAAACCCACCGCGTTTCGTGCCTAGTTTCGCGGAGGGCCTGGTTACCTACCAGAAGGTCTCGCCCGACCCTTGGGATCTACGATTTTGAAGCCGAACGCACCTTCCCGTCGTCAACTTGCTAACTGCTAACCAGGAAATTCCAGGACGGGTACCCCTTAACGACCCCCGCTTTCAAGGGGAAGGGGAAGGGGAAGGGGAAGGGGAAGGGGAAGGGGAAGGGGAAGGGGAAGGGGAAGGGGAAGGGGAAGGGGAAGGGGAAGGGGAATGGGAAGG